GTGCGGTCCTATTCCACCGACAAGTCTTCTTCTTTACAATAACAAACACAACTGTGTACTCCAGAATCCCGCAGTCGCCAGTGGGAAATTCGGAGGTCGAGATGGAGGACTGGACTACAGTGGAAGATTTAAAAGGATTTTGAGTTCAAATCTGTTAGAAAAAGAAGGTTCAAAACGATTCCTGATTCATACCATACTAGGTTCAAGGGATGGAAGCATCAAGGAAAGTAAGAGTGGTGGAATCAGAGGAACGACGCATATATGAGCCTCTAGTGGGCATAGCAGATTTGGAAGTCGATCCAGCAGAATGGGCTTGGAAGAGGAAGTAAGGCAGACTAGGAATAGAGAAGCATAATAACATCCTTGAATACTCCACTAAGCTGGGATATTCCCTACGAATGAGATCGGTCTCAATAGCCCAGATCATCAACCAAAGATGGGAAAATCAGCTCAATCTACCACCAAACCAAACTCTCATATCCTCATGGGGTACTCTGCTCGCCATCTCCCCAGTTAAGATAAGAAGCTTTCAATGGCTGCTAGCCCATCGAGCGCTCCAAGTTAACAAATGGTTGAAAAACAAGAGAAGGAACGCGCAGTTGCAATCCCCTATGCAAGAACTATGTTCCATTTGCCAGGAGGGACTGACAGAAGATATAGAACAATGTTCGCTTGAATGCCAGAAAGCCAAACAGTTATGGACACAAGCCTTCCGGCTTTGGCTCTCAATCACTGGCAAAGCAGTGCCGTCAGATCGAATCTCTCTCTTACTGGGATTACACACTGACAAGGCATGGCAGGGATTCGAAGTCTCCTTCTTCCAAATTCTAAGACTAGCGACCTTATGGATGATTTGGAAGCGCAGATGCCAAGAAACGCTTGACCACTCAACTATAGCACCCCAAGAAGCTTGGGAAGGAGCCTTGCAAACAGTAGAGGTCGAATATAGAGGACGGTGGAAAAGAACCTGCAGGAAAATAGAAACGAATATTGCTAACAAGGACAAAATAATAGAAGCCTTCGTAAAACATCAGTTAGGAGAAGGCAGGATTGCCAAAATAAAACAGGACAGACTCCACTTCTTTCAATGGCGACATATTCATCCAAGGAGGCAGGAGATAGACGCCCCTGGAAGCAGAACTCACCTTACGGATATATCAGTAAGGGGGAGATAATAAGAGTAAGGCAACCACAGTCTCTCATAAATGAAACAGACAAAACAATACCAGCACCCACTATATGACACCTACACGTCAAGGCAAGGAGAAAGTTCGGGCATAGTTATAACCTGAACTAGTAGCCAGAACCTAGAAGAGAGGAATAAGCGAAGAAGTTAGGGTTTAGGGCTTTAGGAGTAAAGTTTAAAAAGACCGTCGAAACATTACAACTAGTGAATAGAAAAGACAGGAGTAACTAGGAAAAGCAAGTCTCGGACCGAATCTACGTCGTAAGCAAAGAATGAACACAGCAGTATGCTTTACGATATTACCCTTAAGGATAGGATAAAACTTAAAAATGCGTACAACAGATGGCCTGATAAGCCTAGGGGATAAGGTGTAAGAAAACGATAAAGGCAGAAATAGCAATGCAGTTAGGAGTTCGCGTACCCAATCGAGAATACTTGGCAGCATAATAATGGAGAGGGAGGGAGGATGTTAGAAGATAAAGCCGACAGAGATTAAGAAGTAAGCAAGTTCATGCAAGGTTTTCAGCAATTACTAAACAGTCCCTTAGAAGCCAGCCCCAAATATTAGTCCTAGCATTCAGGTTTATAAGACAGTACTCAGAGGAAAGATCTAGGAGCTAGGCGTCTCAGAGGATCAGAAGATAGTGGATATAGGCTAGCATTCAGGTTTATCAGACAGCACTCAGTGGAAAGAGCTAGAAGCTAGGCGTCGCAGAGGATCAGAAGATAGTGGATATAGGCTAACTTAGGCAGGGGTGAGGGGTGGTATATCCTTCCCTTAAGGAAGTAATCAATGTCGTCCACTCGGACCTCTCAACCATAATGGGGGGGAGCGTGAGTGTGTTTTCATTGTATTTATATTTGACTTGCCGGGGGAATTGGAACCGGACAGTTGCTCCCCAGAATGGCAGGGGCCAGAACCAAGAGGTTCTGTTTTTTTTTTTTTTTTTTTTTTTTTTTTTAAGGTTCAACCATTCAAGGGATGGAGGTCATGCACAAATGTGCACCATGCCCTCAGATCAAGCATAATCATCGCGATGGAACAGGAACCGGACTAACGCACCCCAGAATAGAATGGAGCAGGAATCAAGATGAGCCGTTTTGATTTATGACCGAAAAAAAAAAAGAAGAAACTTAGAAAAGTACAATCATGGCGATTACAGTTGCCCTCACAGTCTTTTGCTGTATCAAAGCAGGTGCAATGGCCAACAAAATTGCAGACTGAGAAATCTGCTGTTTTCTGAGTATTGATGCTTTTTGCTGGACTGCTTTGCGCCGAAGTTTGCGGAGATTTCCATTTTCTGTTGTGGTTTTCTGTGTTTGCTTGAGTTTGTGTGCCTGGTCTGAGTGTTTGCTGATATCCCGTGCGTTACCCGCCTGTCTGAGAATCGGTGTGTGTGTGTGTGTGTGTGTGTGTGTGTGTGTGTGTGTGTGTGTGTGTATCTTGAATTTTCACCATAACAGCCCCTATTCCACCCAGATGAGCAGATCCAAAATCAAAGCATATTCAATCCTATTGCAGACAAACGAAAGCCCTTGAGTTGTGACAAACCAACAATGAAACAGTTTCACCCCTATAGCAAGCAACATGGAGTATAATAGACGCATGTAAACCCCTTTCTTGATTGTGTTGACGGCCAACAATGAGACAGTTTCACCTCTATAGCAAGCAACATGGAGTATAATAGAGGCATGTAAGCCCCTTTCTTAATTGTGTTCACGTTTGCTTTCTTTGGGGTACCCCTTTCATTCGTTCTTGCAGCTCCCCCTTTACCGTGCCTGTCATGCACAAGGCTCGCCACGTTGATTGTGGTTGAGCGCGAGCTGCTCACATCCCTGTGTGGCATAACGGCCCACTTGTACACTATGAAAGGAGGCAGAGCAAAGGCGGAGCTATATTCCTGTCCATTGCTTCTCAGATCTTCAACTTATATTTTGTCTGTTCTCTTATTGATGCTTATTCGTATGCATTACTAGTAATACAGAAGAGGAGGGAGGGAGGAAACGGGAGGTGGAGTTCTAACAGGGTTCTAAACAGTGACCGCTGGGGCAGACCACTCTAGAATGGCACATGAGGCCAGTCAGTGTGTGGGTTGCATAAGATTTGAGGAGCAATTGTTGCCTATGGTAAGTGGCTTGTGTGTCTGTGTGTGTGTGTGTTATAGACTTTCCCCACAACCTCCCCAATTCCGCCCAGATGAATAGATTCAGAATCAAAGCAGTCTTTGTCCTATTGCAGACAACGAGAGCATTTGAGATGTCCAACATATTAAAGCAATTTTATAATTTGACAGTTTTTTGGTTGTCCTTGGGGTACCCCTGCCATTGTTCTTGCAGCTCCCCTTGTACTGTGCCTTTTACGCACAAGGCTGCCCACGTTGATTGTGGTTGAGCGGCAGCTGCCCACACCCCCGTGTGCGTTCATGTGTGTGTGTGTGTGTGTGTGACGCGGAGATGATGGTCTGTGTGCTGAAATGGCCCCGTGGCCTGGTATTGACCTGTGGCTATGTGAGTTCAGGGTTGCAGGGTTTCAGCGGGTACAGTAGGGTAAAGAAGGCTCACGGAGGCGAAAGGATAGCAGAAGGGGAAGAAAAGTTAGTACCTTTGTGTACGCCGAGGTAGTAGGCTAGAGGTCTGGTAGACTTAGGGGTAGGTACCAGTCCAGTAGGCCGGAGTCTAGAGCCTGCAAAAGGGAGATCAAACTGCAATGATGTTCCCGCCAAAATGGAAGGGAACTGGTAGTCCTGGGAGGCTGCGTGGCCTGGAAGTCACTGTGCGAAGAGGCACAGGCCTGAAATATCGAGAGAGGCAGCAGAGGCTTCGCCTCATTCTCCCAGTTGGCGCTCACCGTTTGGGTGAGGTGCTGGATTGGTGGTAGAAGGCGGAGCTTGGCCCCCACCTTGGGTATGGTGGAAGGGACCAAGGTGGAGGTGGAAGAGGACATGGCTATGGAGGAGAAGTGAGGAAGGAGGAAGAAGAAGGAGGAGAGTGAAGAAGGGAACGTATCTTGGCTATGGTGGTCTGCACTTTCATGTTCTTGGTTGGCGTTGCACCTGGAAGGCCCCTAGTGGGGTGATACTTGGAAGGAAGACTCTGGGGTGGAATGTTGCATGGCGGTCCATAGTGGGAGAGGCAAAGTAGCCTTGAATTGTCCTCTGGACATCGGAGCTAGGCTCTGACGGTCCATAGTCACCGACACAGCCTAGATGTAAAAGAAGGTGTAGGATGGCTATCGTAGACTTCTTGAGTGGTCGGCAGTAAGGGTAGGATTCGGACATTGATTCTGGTTCATAGTACTTGTTGTTCTTGTGATTATTATTGATAAGATGTTGGGAGAGTTGATGGAGGACGGAGTTGACGGCAAGATGAGGAAGGAGAGACGTTGGTTCTTGCTTGTGTTCATCTTCGTCGTCTTCTTCTTCTTTCACTCTCCATTCTTCTTCCTCCTTTGTTTTTTTCTCTTTCCAACCCCTCTCATTTCAGTTGCAGTTGAATGGCATTGTCTTTCTTTGAGCTTTAACAATGTGAGACATCCCAGATCATAACACAGGCTTCTCTTTGGTTGAGTGGCCTGTACCACCATGCTTGTTACTGCAGGCAAAGCGACATGAATACAGTCAGCAATCTGCGGAGTTCTCTGAAAATATAGTCAGCAAAAAATCTCAAAACAAAGATGATGCAATAACTATAGCCCTAGAAACGATAACAACAGCCACAAGAATGATAATGAAGGTGATGATGATGATGATGACGATGACGATGACGATGATGATGATGATGATGATGATAAGGAAATCAATGGTGAAAATGTTACCTGGTAGCCTGTTGTTTCCCTCGCTCTCAGCCACATAATCAACCAAAGCACCCACTCCACCATTGCTGACAATAAGTTGTGCAAGCTCTGGTGTGTGTTTGGCAACTTCTCGAATCATTGTTCCCGCATTTTTTCGCACAACAAGATCCGCATCCTTGAGGCAAGTGAAAATCTTGGGGAACACCTCCGCCTCCACAACCACCTGCAGAAGATACACTGCCATCGTTGGTGATTCTGAGTATCAGCAACTTATCTTAGTTGGCAGCAAACTGCAATGATCTCTTGCACCCAAGAAGTAGACTTGGGCATGGGATCGCAACGCAAACAGGGAGAACAAAATGACAGTATTAGTTCCATTTAAGTGCTTCAAGTTCGAAGTCTTCCCATACTTTCGAATTCTCTGAGGGATACATGCGCCTGTCGAGATAACACACAGCGAGCTCGTCTGAAGCACATCAACCTTGCTCAAAAAACTCCTTCAGCAAAATGCTTACCAACATTTCATAGTACTTCATACCATTTATTGTTCAAGGAGAACCATTCCGGATGGCTCAGGACAGTGCGAAAGAAGAGGGTGTGCAAAGGATTTTAGAAAAGGTGGGAATGGAGTTCCAGGTCAGGACTTGAATCTGTGTGTATCGGTTCCAGACTCCAGAGTGAATTTAGTCGAGGGACAGGCAAGACAGAAAACAACAACGAAATCTACTAAGTATGGGGGTAGCAGTCAGAAAGTTCAAAAACCATAAAAAAGTAAGAGAAGAAAACCATGCCGCGTAAAAAGATTTTAAAATGATCTTCAAAAGGTTATCATGCATCGACACCTTCGTTTTCCCAGCCGGAATGTTGCGGTTGTACCCGCGTGGTCATGGAGATCTGCAATGGTGCTCTTCTCTGACCCTCATAGCTCGGAATTCGAAGCTGAGGGTCAACATCGAGCCTCTCATTCGTGGCTTTCCTCCTCTGAGCGGGATCCACAAGTAAAGCCAATAGTCAGCCTCATGCCTACACTTGGAACAAAGTGTGTTTGGCCAGAAAGGTGCTATGGTGGACCATGGGATGACCATCAGCTCGTGATACGGCAAAACGATCGAAAAAGGGGGAAAAAGTCCGACTAATCACAAAACCTGATCCAACAAACCCCGACAGATTGTAGATCTGCACCGTGGCTTAGTGCACGTCCCACACAGATACATGTGCCCGCTAAGTGGGCACAGGAGCATTGAGGGCTTGCACAAATGGGATATAGATCAGCGTGGATCGAAGAGACAAAACTGCTCATAAGCAAACATATTTTTAATCGAAGTTTTTTTCACGCATGCGATGCAAAGGAAAGGAAATCACACCATTGTTCGCGCACACAAGTACCCCAAGAGCAAGTACTCACAAAGAGAAACCATCCGTCCTAGGAGAAACGAGAAAAGCATCTTACAATAGAAAGGCATGCTCATCATGCTCGCCACTGAGCTCCCATACCCATGACTAGCCAGAAAATGGAGTCATCTTAGAAATCGATCAGAATATTAACCCCGAAACAAACACGACACAAAGAGGTATTCATTCAGAACTTCATTCATTCCGCAAGCTCATAACATTCCATCACTGCAAGCCAAGATCAGCAATCACACCAAGTTTCACGTAAAGAGCCAATCACACATTACAAATCACACTGATTTGCGCTCTTTGACTCGTGCAACATCAAGACACAAATTCACACCTGGGAGATATTTCCATTTCCATCAAAACAAAACAATGATGAGGAGAAGGCATGTTACCCCGATGTTTGACACATGGCTCTCTGCCAAACACCATCCATCTCCCCACCGTTCTTTATGAGCGCTGACAGGCCGTTGCCCTGCACCTGTCGAACTCTCCGGTGATCATTACCCTGCAAATCCAATAACCGTGCTAGTTTGCACACGCCCCGGAGTCCAGTGCTGTGCCGTCACAACTCCGCCTGACTGCGACCCGGATGCCAGGACTTCCCGACTTGACAATGAACCAGGACTTAGTCAATGAACCTGATCTGGCTACTTGTGTTAAAAAGGGGAGCACTAGGGGATCCCAGTTATGAATTTATGGTTGTGCAAAGGAGGACTGTCTGGATGTACGAGAGGGAGAGAGAAGTTCAAAGAGGGAGGGGAGGATGAGGAGAACGTCCAGGCGCTGTGCATAATTGAACCACGATTGTGGACTTAGCCTCGCTCCACATGACAATCTGACATATACCGCCGTTGGGCCAATCAGGATGAAGAGATAAAATGAGTGGAGGAAAAAATATCAAGAAGGAGGCCAGAGGAGACGGGAGAAGCAGGAGGAAGACAGTTAAGAGCTTGTTGGGGAGATCAAAAGGCAGAAGAACGTATGCGCTTAAAGACATGGTGTGTAAGCAGAGGGGAAAGCAGCCTGTAGGCAGAGATGAGAACAAAAAGGTCATGGAAGTCTGCCAGGTGAACCACTGGAGAAGAAAATGGTGCGGACACGTGCATGAATTTCAAACAGAATTCAAAAATCCTACACGCATCCACGAAGGCGCAAAAAAGAATTCCTACAGCAAAATTGTGAGAAAGACAAGCGAGTATCCTATCCACCCTGCAAAAGACCCGGACGCTGAAGACGGCTAATGTACACCCCCTCAAAAGGCAAAAATTAGAAGAGGTGGAAAAGATAGTGCACCCGGGAAGAGTGTGCATCACATTTCCTCTATGCATCAGTCTGCATCAGGGCACAAGATGATGATGACCGCATAAAAGCGTGCATATGTAGCGCCACCATCAATGAAATGGTCGAACGCCAACCATGTCGATGGACATGTCTTCCGAGTTTCAATGCTGTTGTCAGGGGGTTGCAAGGCCTGTCCACTAAGCATCTTAGTCTTAGTATCTTAAAGTGGGAGTTGCGAGGCCCTGAGTGGCAGGTCTGAAGCTGGAAGAGGGCCCCCGGTCTTGCCGCCCATGTAACTACTGGGTAGGCCTCAGCTGCGGTACCAACCGGGCCCGTACTGGGCCCGGATCCTCACCAGTAGGTAATGCCTACCGGTTCAGACCCAGGCCTCCAAAGGCACATTGGGCTGCAGGCAGTATCAAGCGGCAAGGCTGGAGCAGCGGTAGCAGACAGCCAGCGACCGTGAGGAGCAACAGCATAACAGTAGCTGCCAGTCTGCACTTGCCAAAGCTTGAAGGCAGCATAGCGCAGGAGAGATTGGCTTGGAAGATGGGAGATCTGAGGAGAGGAGGAGCCTGTGGGGAGAAGGGGGCGACCACTGCCACAGTACAAAGTCCGTTTTCAATTTCAAGAGCCGGGGAATGACCGACGGTTTGCAAAAGGAGGGCTCAAAGAGACAGCTCCAAGAATAGTCTCTCATTATGAGCAAGCTCGGAGAGAGATCCCTATTGTAGATAGGTGACCAAAGTTATAGCTTTCTTCGCAGGAGTGTCTAAGTCCTGATTTCGGTCCGGAAGTCCATACTACCTGTCAAATAGGTAGGGCAGTTTGGTTGAGTCCGCAGGCCCTGTAGGACCTGGCAGGCCTGCTGGTCCAGCTAGTCCTGTCTGTCAGTCAGTCCAACCCCGTTAGCAGCTCAGTCCCGCAAAATTCAAAGACGCTACCGGATGTGTGGAAGTCCAACCGCGGCTAGCAAAGCGAGGTACAGTACTGGAAAAGTCCATGATTGGGAACTGCAGTGAAGTACAAAAGCCCGACGGCACCAAGGCATCAACACAATTTCCATTCAAGACTTTGAATTTCAAACAATTCCAAAGTGTTCTCTCTCATGTTGGTTGCATCTCATGTTTGGAGCTTGGTGTCATGGTGTGGAAATGTTACAGAGTGAGAAGCGTTGTCAATGCGCAGATGATCCATGGCATTCATTTCTACCTTTCTCCTTCCTCCTCTGTCCTTTTTTTTGCTGTCCCGTTTGGCACTGGTGATTCAACTGCATTGTTTGAATGTCAATCACTTTTGTTTGATCATGCGACCTTCCTCTCCATGTGGAGAAGGCCATGATAATATGTGCATGGATATTGATCACAAAGACGGTCATCATAAAAGACGGCGCGGAGGGGATTCCGGGTTCCGCCTTCTTCTCTCAGCCAAGACATTTGTTTTCCATATTCTCTCTACTCTCTCTAGCCTCTCATCACACATTCCTGTTATATATCTGCCATTGGCCGTGCTGGACTCAAGTCATCAATCTTGTGCTATGGCATGTCTTTCGAAATTTTCAAAGTTTGATCGAGAGAATCAAAGTGTATGCATCCCACATAGTCCTATCAGTATGAATATGCACTAATGACGGGTAGTAATGACAAAATCTGGCAGGAATCGCAGAAAGATGCATCTGACTATGTTCCAAGTTCACGACTCATAATACAACTAGAAGGATAAGAATCACCACAAGGAGACACGGAAATGGAGAAGGCAATGAGGTAGAGACAACAACCAAGAAGAAAAAGGTGCAAATAAATAAGTAGCATCGACCCAATAACCACCACCCTCACCCCACCACATCATCTGTAACTGGCGAGGGCAAGTGCAATAATGACAGTGGAAAGACAATGACATCGCACAAAAGACAGACACATGATGGAAGCCAGCACAAACTCATGATGGAAACCGGACGGAAACACATGCATACATGAACGCCTCCCTGGCCAATATTCCACCGGCATTGTACCAGAAGAAGAGGGAGAAGCAGAAGAAGTGGAGCAGAGAAGCTCAATCCAGAACTCACAAATATAAGTCCTGTAATGACCCGCCAAAAACACAGACTGAGAACACTGCTGATTTCTGGGATTTGCCGCTGGAATGAATGCCTTGCTGAAATTCCCACATTCTGCTGTGATTTCCATGTCTGTGTGTGTGTGCGTGCCTGCTGGTTTGCATGCCTGTCTGAGTGCTTGCCGGTTGAGTGTGTGTGTGACCCGCAAGGGTACTTGTTGGTTGCAAGGCCCCGCAGGGCCGGTACTCACCCTGTCTCTTATACACATCTAGATGTGTATAAGAGACAGGTGTGTGCCGGTTGAGTGTGTGTGTGACCCGCAAGGGTACTTGTTGGTTGCAAGGCCCCGCAGGGCCGGTACTYACCTGTGGCCGTGACTGTGAAGGGTTGCAGGGGGGAAAACACTCGAGTAGCGGGGGTAGGCCCGCGGCACTTAGAGCAGAGGGGAAAAACACTCAAGTAGCAGGTAGGCCGGTACCACTGAAATAGTGGTAGAAGTGTCGGGTGCTGGAGGCCGAGCAGAAGAAGACAAAAAGTTGGCATTTTTAGAGGCCAGGTAGCGGTAGGTTAGAGGTAGGCCGGTACCAGTCCGAGTAGCCCGGGTCTAGGGCCTGTCCGGAGGTTAGCAGAGCCTGCAATGATGTTCCCCTCCGAAAGGGAGGAGGTACTGGTTGCTGGGAGGCCGCTCGGCCTAGGAAGTCACCGCTCAGGAGGCCAGTAGGCCGCTATATCTTTCGGAGGAGCAAGTAGTTCCTCCTCATTTGTGGTATGCAAGGATTGGCGACATGCTGCTGGAGCACAGCGCTGGCCGGTACAGCGCTGTTCGGAGGTGAAGGGCCGCTGGAGCTCAGCCTGGCTATGGCGAGCAGTCCAGCTTGAGGAGGAGGAAGAAGGGGGTGAGGTGGGAGAGTGGCGAGGCACCTGCCTGGCTATGGTGGACACCGTCTTCAGCACCTTGTTGGGCGCTGCATCCCCAGTTTGGGTAGTGCTGCACCAAGGAAGCTTGAGGCAGAGTCAGGCATGGCGGACCAGTCAGAGCGGCATAGCTGCTTTGGGTTGTCCTTTGGACATCAGCGCAGCACCATAGCTGCTTTGGGTTGTCCTTTGGACATCAGGGCAAGGCCCTCATTAGTCCGCCATAGCCTATGCATGAGAGAGGAGGCTGAAGGAGGGAAGCCATAGCTATGGTGGACTTGTTGTTGTTGTTGTTGTTGTTGTTGAGTTGAGTCAGCAGTAAGAGGGAACTTCGGATATTGATTCTGGTTCATCCATTCATTGTTATTATTATTGTTGGGAGAAGAATAAGATTGGCGAAGTAAAGTAGGAGGAGGAAGGTGGAGAGAGAAGGGGGAATTGTCATTGATCTTGCTGGTGCATATCTTCTTCTTCTTCTTCTTCTTCTTCTTCTTCTTCTTCTTCTTCTTTCTTTCTCTCTCCTCTGCTCTTTATCTCTTTGCAAATGCTTTCATTTCTTTCGCAATTGGGTGGCATTGTCTTTCATTGTGAATTTGCACTTGGGAAATGACCAGGATCGTAACAATTGGTATCAGAGCGGACTTACTTGCTGGCGAGAGGTGTTAGTCACCCTAAACCTAATTCCGCATTAGGTTAGGGCTAACCTAATCTCGGATTAGGGTTAGGAAGTTAGGGTTAAGTGGGGCAGTGAGGTATGTGGATACTGCCCCCACCTGGTTAGGTCATGTAGGGTCGACATTAGACCTGACCAGGTTGCTTGAGTGATTGGATGGGGTGGCGAGACACAAAGGAGGCTGACTGGAGTAAGCGAGAGGGAGTAGAGAGTGAGAGGTACTCGCACCTGGAATCTGCACTTCAAGAAGACATTGAGTGACTTTTGGGCTTCCCCTCAAGAGGGAGACTTGATCGGAGGCTGCCATATCTGCATCGAATTGCTGCAAGTTGCTACTTTGGTCTTCAGACATTGACGGGGGATCCGGCTTTGCAACAGGGGTGTAGGAAGGCCCTCTTAGTCATGATAGGACACTTCGTGTAGTGGTAGCTAGGGKTCAGGAGGACTTATGAGAGAGGGGGGTGAGTCGTTATCCATCTTTGGAGGCCGGGCCTCACAGGTAAGTGCCGTGTGACCTGGTTAGTCCGTGGGAGGTTGCTTGGTGCTTCATGGCCTGTTGGGGGTGTGTTGGGCTCTCTTCCTCTTCTCTGCGGTCTTGGATGTGTGTGTGAGCATGTGGATTGCTTTCTCACCTGATGGATGGATGGATGATGTATCTGTTCTAAATGACATATCTTTCTACGGTGCAATGTCTTTTCATTTCTGAATGGCTGTAGGGGTAAGTTCTTGCTGAAAGTTGTCTTTTCCTTTTCAGTACGGTAGAGGCAGTTTGGGACTGACTTGGTACTCCTATCTCGTTGGTCTTGGTCCACGACCTACTTGGGACCTCCGGGACTCAGTGGGACCAGGCCCAACGGGATAGGACCTTTCGGGCCCAAATCTGTTGCCGCCTGTGCATCTCTTTGCTGCGCTGAACTTGGGGGACATGCGGCTAGCAAGGGCATTCCTTTCAAGGGGATCTTGACTGGTCTTACTGCATGTTATCACATACTGCCCCACGTCTGACTCGGCGACCGTCTGCACCCCTCGAAATCTCCATTGCTGCAGTTAGTTTTCTTTGGCTGATTTACTGTGGTACCTGTACCTTGTCAGGTTAGACAAGAGAGGATCTCCAACTAATCTGATCGGGCCCGTTCGATAAGTCAGTCCTCTTCTGTTTTATTTTTTATTTTTTTTATTTATTCTTTTATTCTGCTGCGTGCCATTCTCCAAGTCCAAATGAATTGCCGCTCCGGCTAGGAGTTCTACCTTCTACTCTGTGTGTTTTACTGATTGTTTCTTTCATCTGAACTATCTATGTCCGGTATTGAGACACGTGCGCAGACAGCGGGAAGAGAGAGAAGGGAGAGAGAAGGTGTTCTGTTTGAGAGTGTGAGGAAGGGCAAGAGGAGTGTTCGTCCAAACGTGAGGAGAGAGCGGACCCCTCTTGAGAGATCTACTAACACCCCTTCCTCCGGCATGGCGGACATCACATCTGCCCAATGGCAGGCCATGCTGGACGCAGCGGACGAGAACGAGAAACCGTTCTTCCAAAAGCTTTATGACGATGCCGTGCAGAGGGAGAGAGAGGCAGAGGCAACAGCCAGAGCCACACGCATTGCTGATCAGGTGGCCCTCCTGCAGGTCCCGGAAGCTAATGCTGACCGGTTCCAAGAAAGGATAGCTGCTGCCGTAGCAGCCTTGGTTCGACTGCAGACCTTGGAAGATCTCGAGTCCCGTGTGACGGCACTGGAGCAGCGGAACCAAGAGCTGCAGGCTGAGATACTCAGCCTTAAACAGTCCCAACTGTCTGCCCCTCGTCCTCCTAACCCTCGACCTGCTGCAGTCCCAGCCTCTCAATCTAACACAGTCCTCATGGCAAGAGCAAGTGGAACTGTGACGAGCGCAGGGACCGGTGCCAGCTCCTCAAGCGGCAGCGCCGGCAGTTCTGCAGTAGTCATAGTCCCAAATGCAGGGACAACAACCCAAAACGCCACAGTCCTTACTGGCGTACAGTACAGCGGTCCCGTAGTGGACAAGCGGGCGGCCACTTTGCCGTCCAAGTACGACGGGAAGGCGGATATCACCTCTTGGATTAGTTCCATGCGCTCATACTTCGAGGTTATGCGGACACCGCAGGAAGACCGAAGCATGATCATGGGCACTAATACTGAGCCCGCCGTACGGAGTCACAATGAGCTCCAAGCTGTTGCTACAGGTTATGAAAGAATTGACCTGACTGAGTGGCTGAAGGTAACCCCTGTAAGCTCCCTTGAGGACCTTCTCATCACACGGTACCAAGATAAGCATGTTGCGCTCAAGGCAAGGCTAAAGCTTGAGGCCCTCAAGGGCCAAACATGGAGGTCCTCCATGCAGGCTTTGGAACAGGACTTGACTGGTCTGTTCCAGACCTGGGAATGACCGACGTGTCTTGCATGGATGTAGTCATGGGAGTGGCCCCTAAAGAATACCTCTCCCTGTTAGCACTCAAAGACCATACCACCTGGCGAGAGYTCATGACGGAYYTAGTCAACCTAGAGGCCAAGGACCTCGCCAGGCGTAAGAAGGCGCCCGCTGCAGGTGGAAAACCACAACGCAAGCGGTATGGAAGCAGCAACCAGCTTGCCCTGCATGAACATCGGGAGGCTGAAGATCAGTCCTACGCGGATGATCTGTCTCTAGATGACGATCTAGAGCCGGACTTCGATATGGGCTGTTCCACATCAGCCATTGAGCCTGACGTAAATGAAGATGAAAAACTTAATGATTTTAAAAAGACTGCTTCAAACAAGGGGCCTAACCGTGGTTCGGGTAGGGGAACTGTTGTACACCTCCCCAAGAATGCGAAGATCCTTGAGAAACCGGACGATGCATCTACCAAGCCTTGGGAAGCCCTCCGTATCAGTCAGAAGGAATGGGAAAGAAGATCTAAACTGCGCGTATACTTGCATTGTCAAAAGCCTGGGCATGCTGTGCAGGACTGTTATCGACTTCAGGGATACAGGCAAAGGGCGTAGAAGAGTCATCAGCACTCTCTACAACAAGGGAAGCTGAACCATCAGTTGCAGGCCCCTCCAATGAGCCTGAATCTGATCAACAACCTACTCTTGAAGCCCGGAACGACGCTGAATCCAAGGCTGCTGCAGTCCATGTGTTATACACTGAGCCTTGGGAGGAGTCTAAGGAAGTTGACTTCCACGCTCACCTGGAACATTAGCTTCAGCTCAAGCAGCAACGCCGTGTTCAAGGGAGTGTGGAGCTAACCTTCTTCAAACTGCTCATTAACCGCCGATACATCCGCGTGCTGATTGATAGTGGATCAACCACTAACTTCTTTTCTCCTAACGCTATTCGTAAGGCGGGTCTGGGAATGAGGCAAGTGGAACTGCAAAACCCTTGTCAGACCCAGGTGGGCAACCAAGAGGTTGTCACCTCCACACATGCTGTCAAAGGTGTGCGCGTCACCTTTGACAAGGATCACACTGTCACACATGAGCTCAACTTTTATGTCATGGACAGGTGTCCGTTCGACGCGGTCATTGGCTTGGGCTGGTTAAAGGCTCATTGCCTAAGGACCACGTGGGCGGACAATCAGTTTGTGGTGCGTGATGCCAAGGGGAACGAGCGTACCATCCTATTGGATGAGACGCGCGAGTTCCCTATGACTCTTCTAAGTGCAAACAAATTCTGCAAATCAGTGCGCAGACGCAAGGAAGTGGAGAATGTACATGTAGCTTTTGTAAAACCTCTCCATGTGCCTTCTACTTTTGCTGCATTTTCTACCTCAGTAAGTAACTCAACTTCTATTTCATCTACTTCTACTGTGAATAATCCCTCTACTTCTGGTCCAAGTACTTCAAATCCGGTTGTAATTGCTGTAAATTCTCGATCTGATTTTCTTTCGCCTGATGAGGATGATCCTCCACCAGAAGTCCCAACAAACATTTGCCAGCTATTAGATCGATTCCCTGAAGTTCTAGCCGAACCTCGTGGAGTTCCCGAGCGTCCGATCAAACATAAGATCGAGATAATAGAAGGGAGTGTTCCTCCAAAGGGTTGCGTCTCCCATATGGGACAAGGCGAGTTGGAGGAGTTGAGGAGGCAGATTGATGACATGATCAACTGTGGATGGATTAGGCCTAGTGAGTCTGAGTTCGGTGCACCTATCCTGTTTGTGCCAAAGAAAGGAGGCAAACTCCGGATGTGTATTGACTATCGTGGCCTTAATCGGATCACCAGAAAGAATGCTTACCCTGTGCCTCGCATAGATGATCTGCCAGATGCGGCAAGTGGGTGTAAGGTCTTCTCCAAGATCGACCTCAAATCTGGTTACCACCAGATTGAAGTTGATCCGAGCGCCCAGCATAAAACTGCATTCAAGACACGCGATGGGCTGTATGAATTCATCGTTATGCCCTTCGGTCTTACGAATGCACCGGCCACATTTCAGTGCCTCATGGACAAGGTTCTTCGCCATCAGCTCAACAGGTTTGTTGTTGTTTACCTCGACGACATCCTGATTTTCAGCAAGTCCATGGAAGAGCACGTCAAGCACCTTGAGGAAGTTTTGCAGGTCCTCAAGGAGGCGCAACTGCACCTCAACTTAGAGAAATATGAGTTTGGAAGGGACAGCGTCATCTATCTTGGGCACCGGTTGTCTGCAAACGGCCTTGAGTCGGAGGCAACCAAGGTTGAGGTCATCCGAAAGTGGCCTCAACCAGCGAACGTACGCGAACTGCGTTCTTTTCTTGGTCTAGCCTCATATTACCGGAAGTTTGTGCCCAAATTTTCTGTCATTGCTCACCCACTCTCGAGACTAACAAGCAAGAATGTTGCCTATGCGTGGTGTGAGAAATGTGAGACTGCGTTCCAAGCCTTGAAAGAGGCATTGGTGAATCATCTTGTGCTCCGCATTGCGGATCCCAACCTCACATTCGTAGTCACTACGGACGCGGGCCAGTTTGGGATTGGTTGTAGTGCTGCAACAAGATGATGGTGATGGCCTGCGTCCGCTGGAATACTACAACAAACGCATGCCCAGCCACAAGGTAGCTACCTCCACATAAATGCGTAAGCTCTACGCCCTGCGCGAGGCGCTCACACATTGGAAGCACTACCTCTTGGGTCGTCACTTCAAGGTCTACTCAGATCATCAAACCTTGCAGTGGATTAAAACACAAACTTATCTCTCTCCGACGCTGACCCGCTGGTTGCATGACATTGATGTGTACGATTTTAAGTTGAAACATAAGAAAGGTTGTTATAATCGTGTTGCTGATACTTTGTCGCGTCACCCTGAGTTTTTGACTTGCCTTGTGGGTTTGTATGACCTCCGAAGGAAACTGAAGGAGGATCTGGTCGAACACACCGCCAAGGATCCGGACCTTAGTCCCATCCTTGAGCAGCTCAAGGTTGACCCTAATAGTCAGCCTGATTTTCATGAGTGTGAGGGTCTTGTATTCCGCCGGTATGGGAAATTTGATCGTCTGTGTGTACCCAACCATGCGCCTCTCCGAACTCATTTCTTGGATTTGGCACATGGTCGGAGTGGACATTTCGGCTTTGAGAAGACTTATGGAAGTCTTCTCCAGCAGTTTGATTGGCCAGGAATGAACGGATCTGCTCAGAAATTCATCGCCGAATGTCAAGTATGTCAAAGAACCAAGATCCACAGGCATAAGCCTTATGGCCTGCTGAGACCCCTACCCATTACTGATGGACCCGGTGAGTCGATTTCCATCGACTTCACGGACATGGGAAAGGTGAGTGAAGCAGGGAATTAACAAGTCATGGTCATAGTGGATCGTTTCTCCAAATTTCTGAATCTGATTCTTTTTCCTCCCCATGCCCCAACTGAGCTTGTCATCGAAGAGTTCCATCAGCAGTATATTCTGCGGTATGGCCAACCGAAAACCATTGTGAGTGATCGGGACACCCGATTCATTAGTAAAGACTAGAAGGACTTCACTTCTCAGATCTACGACATTAAACTCAACAAGACTTCAAGTCGACACCCCGAAGCCAACGGACTGGCTGAGGAGATCAACCAGACTGTCATCCAACTACTTCGCGCATTGATTGTTCCAGATCAGAACACGTGGGACAAGGAGTTGCATAAAGTGAAGGGACTGTACAACAACTCCATTCACTCTGCAACTGGTGTGACACCAAACCAGTTGCAATACGGATGGCCGATGTGTAATCCCCTCTCCTATCTGTTCCCCGAACGGTCACCTGGTCTGATGCCCGGCATGCTTGGCTACAATGCCAAGCACGCAAGCTTGCTCAAAGTTGTTATTGCAGCCATGAACAAGCGCCAACATGCCATGATCAAACATGCTAACAGATTGTGCAAAGAAGCAAAATTGAAAGTAGGGGATTATGTTTGGGTCAAAATGTCTGAGTTTTCTGATGAAGAGGGCGTATCACGAAAGCTTCTTCCATTGTACTATGGCCCTTGGCAGATTCTGAAGGTGATTGGGGATGATTTTGGTCCATACGTGATTGACGTGCCTCCTCATCTGCACACATATCCGGTCTTTCATGCGTCCAAACTGTTCCCACACATTGATGATGAGACTTTTCCCTTCCGAGACCCTATGATACCTCGCTCTATCGACGGCGGCCATGAGATAGACAGAATCGTTTCTCACGAGGGAAGAGGGAGGAACAGACAGTACAAGGTTCACTTCCTCTATCACCCGTTGACTGAATTCTTCTGGATCGACCGAAAAGAGCTGCTAAAGAAAGCTCCCCGTGTTGTGAACGCTTATGAACGACAAATCGCTGAGGGACAGACTGCTAAATTTGTTGCAAAAATGACTCCTCACGGACTTACTAAGTCTCTCTTTCCGATTTACTCCTACGATGCATTTTGTGCCAACTCTGAATGAGTTACTCGCTCGAAGGGACCTCGCTCTTGAGAGGGGGGTAGTGTAATGACCCGCCAAAAACACAGACTGAGAACACTGCTGATTTCTGGGATTCGCCGCTGGAATGAATGCCTTGCTGAAATTCCCGCATTCTGCTGTGATTTCCATGTCTGTGTGTGGGTGCGTGCCTGCTGGTTTGCATGCCTGTCTGAGTGCTTGTCGGTTGAGTGTGTGTGTGTGACCCGCAAGGGTACTTGTTGGTTGCAAGGCCCCG